ATTGGACAACTATTGCATCCAAGTAAGGAAGCTAGACAGAACTCTGAAATAATGCTGTGGTTGATTTGTAACAGATAAACACTTTATACAACATGAGTTAATGATGTCTTAGAACATAGATTATCATTGAATTGCTAAATATGTTTTTCGGGCATAGCAATTTGAAATTACACACTTTTTGGCTAGCCTCTGTAATTTACACTTACCAGCATATATTTGACATGTTTCAGTATAACTGTTTCTATACCCATCTTTTTAAAGAAAAACTTTATAACTTAAAATCACTGAAGAGAATAATTCTAAATTAGAAAATGAGAAGGATCTCAAAATAGTCATGAAAATAGAGGTATTGAATTGGTTGCTAAATATTTTGAATATCACCATAGTAGGCAAATACTGTGACTGTAAACTACACTTTTATGAGAACTGTTGAGCCCCATTTTATGGCACTGGATCTCAGGATTCAAGTTTGAAGTTGAGTCTTCTTTAGAGTTAAATATTTTTTTCATTCATTATATAGTTGAAATCTTTTATTTTTAGTCAACAGTAGTTTCTACAGGAAATTTAAAGTTTTCATGGTTAGGCTTGGGAAGTGGTAAAAACAAAATTAAAGCAATTGAATATAAAGAACCCCTTTTTATGGAAACTTTAGATAGTGTTGTATTATTTAAACGAATCATTAGGATTAGCTTTCCGTGAAAGTGTTTGTTTCTGGTTAGCAAAACATTATTGTGATTGCTCTATAAGTATTTGAAACCAAGATTTACAAATACTCAAGGGGAAGACTAGGCAATCCTCTAGATCTCATTATTTAGCTTTAACAGTTATGGTACAGGTGTGAATGGTATAACTCCTCTTTGGATGAAAGGATATAAATATAATTTTAAAAAATAATAGCATTATTTAATTTTAATTGGAATATTGAGGAAAATGTCATATATTATTTTAAAGGCCTTTTGATAACTCAGATTTTTATACAAGTATAAGTATTTCTGAAAGAATGTAGAATATAGCAAATGGTGACTTTCTTTAACTGACATGCCTTTTGAGAGTCAGTATATGATGTGCTTATTATTGAAAAGTTTTTCAACTATCATAGATAAACATTATTAGAAATTGTTTACTCATATCAAAATAGTTCAGGATTTACAAATATGAAGAGTCTCATATTGCTTACTACATTGTCTTCATGTGACTTCTGTAGTTTTGCTTCTATACCTGATGCCACCAAAATTAAAACAAAGTCATAAAATGATTTGAAAAGCTTTATATAAGTGTACTTTTTGGTTTGTAGAGCCATATTCTTAACTTTTCTTTCAACAAAACTGTACATTTTAAATGCCTTTTTATTTTGACAATATTGTAGATTTAACGTATAAACACTTCAGAAAATCTAGCAATGGTTTGGATATTTTATTTACCCAAGGTATTTTAAGCAGTTTCTTAGGAAGTTGCTGAGAGATGACTAAACAGATAAATTATCATTATTTGAGATGAGAGCAGAGATTTTTCATTAGAGCAATCCATCATCACTATAGTGACACATTTATTTTATTTAAGAAAGCATGTATTCTGGGTCATTTTTGTCATCACATACTTATTTTTAACAAGATAATGTGTATATTTAATTTCTTTTAATTTTAAGGATTTATGGCCTAAAATTAACAAGTTAACAGATAAATATTCCTTTTACCCAAACTCTGCTTTTAGTAATAGCAGTCAATTACAACATTTAAAAAACCTTCCAGGATATATCCTTTCTTCAACACAATTGTTATATAATCACTCCTCTGATTATAAACTTCTTTTTCAATTTACTCAACAATTTACTCAATAATTTACTTTCCAGTGTGCCAGGAATAGTGCTCAATAAGGAAGATAGAAAGATTCAGGGATTCCTTCTTGAAGGAGGAGCAGGAATTTGGGGAGGGCATCTCAAGCAGATGAAGTAATGAGACTGGAGGACAGGGTGTGGTAACAGTATAGACTCTTATCGGAGCACTAGATACATTATTTCTATTTGAGCATGATAAACTCTCTAAATTGCATTTTTCAATTAAAAAATGGTCATGCAAATTCATGTATGAAAATAGTTTACATTTAAAAATAATTGGTTTTCACCACTGCTACTCCTAACACAAGCAAGCACTTTGGTTTGGAGTTTTAAGGCATTTTTAAATAAATGGGAATACTTAAAAATTAATTTTGTTCATGCATGTCAAACATGCATAAAGACTTATTTGTGTATATGGATTTGGGAATCATATACAAATTAAGCACTTAAGGGTAGTCCCCCACAAAACCCATAAAGAATGTAGATACTGCAGAAAATAAAAGGAAAAAGGACGCGCCAAAACTTCTGAATTTTCCCTTCATTGCTAACCCTTTTTTCAGCTGTAGTGCCAGAGTAAGGGCAGTCAGAATCTGTAAGTCATGAGTCCTCAGCAATTGGACCTTTCTTGTTATCTGCTCAGTCCTGCATTTTTGTCCTTTCACCCCAACTTC